GACGGTGATCGACATTGGTGATTGATATTCATCAATCCGTCGGTTAAACAAACAGTGGTTTTCTTGCGTAGTTTGTTGGTGACACCCTGTTGTTGACGTCAGGCGAACTTTTGGTAAACTACTGGACACGAATAACATGTGTCTACCTCAGTAGTCCTACTCTTATAACCAAGCTATCTACCTATTTGTCCCGGTGTTCCCTCTGTGTCTGAACAACTCACCTATTCCTTTTTACCAAGGTTTTGAAAGAGAAATATAGCTGTCCTGTTTTTTATAACCAAGCTATCTACCTGTTTGTCCCGGTGTTCCCCCTGTGTCTGAACAGTTCACCTATTCCTTTTTACCACTTTTTGAAAGAGAAATATAGCTGTCCTGTTTACTCCCCTCCCGCCAGCCATGTAACCAGATATCCGAACGAGCGACAGAACTTTTGTACGACCGTCAATTTCGATTTGAATGATGGATTTAATTAACTGTCTGCGAAGCGATCTGGGAAACGCACAGACTGATCACCAACATTAGTATTAGCTGAATGAGGTATGGTTGCTATTCTGTTCGAATACGCATGTGAATATCTACTCTATTGTTACCAGTACTGGACGGCTAAATGGGGAATTCCATTTCGACAAGGTATGATGTCTCCCTTTTATTCATACGGGAATATCTCGTAACTAGGGGACGAGATGGCCCAAGTGGTTGGAGCGCGGATTTACTGACCGGAAGGTTTATGGTTCGAGCCCGACCTCTACCTCTCGACTTCCCCTGTCCAGGCTTGGGCAACCTGGCAGTATCCCAGCCCTCGTGCCTCCTTCGTTTGGCATGGCAGCTAGGCACCGGAAGGGTGTTACAGCTGAACGATCCAGTAACTAACGCGCGTGCCTGTCTTTTGTCGCCAATCCATAGTTTTCATGCTGACAACTGTGTTAGGGGGGTTCCAGCAACGAAAGTCGCTTTTGTTAATCAGCAATCTGGGTCGAATAGAATGCCTGGAAGCCGCCCATGGGTCACGAATATCCCTGACCGGTTGGGATGATTCCGAATTCATAGGTCGATTTGAAATTCAAACTCGTTATTCGAGGATTCATTCGACGGGACGAGTGTTTGCTTGTGATTTCAAATCGTTCCGTTTGAAACTAAACCGCAGTGTGGAATGTGGAGAGAGGTAACTCGTGTTGCATCCTACCATTGGTCAGTTCAAATATTCGAGGGCAACCGCAGTACACAAAGTACCGGATGACTTTTCTATAAAGGAGAATGTCGGTAGCTCAGGTAGCGTAGATGGTCGTTGGCTTGTTCGCTGAGCTGGGCAATTTGATTNACTAGATAACCAAACTCGTAAGCTTAGTTTGGCTCACTTTTTATACCTGCAAACGGTTCATGAAAGATATCAGTCACGTCATGGTCGCGCACGGAGATGTGCTGTCGTTCACACATTGTGTTCAGTCGAACCGTAGGTTTACCGATCGATATTCATTCACCGCTTGTTCGAACTGTTCTGAACCGTTTGTTCATCCTACTGGCCAACGTTCTCGGGGGAATTTTCACCGTGATTCATCTCGATTTATGAATGCGAGTTCACCGAATTTGGGTCTCTTGAGCACGGTACTGACACTGCTATTTACGATTAAAGTCTCCTGTTTTCTAACCAAGAGTTTCTCCTCTAAGGGAAGACACTGTACGCCGAAAAGCCTAGGAACACTGTCCAACCGTCTCAGCTTTGTTCGGAATCGTCAACAGTATGCACTTGACGAATCCCTATGGCTCCCGGCCGGTAGTTGAAAAACTAAGCTGTCCGGTCCCGAGCGGGGCCCATTGGCCGCACAACGCTCTTAGCTGCAAAACCTTTGCGAGTAGAGTAAAACGTTTTGCGCCAAAATGTTGCATTTTGCCGTGTATGTGATCAAACTAAAAGCCATCCTAATCTACGTTCATATTTTCGTAGGAGCGGGGCCCATTGGCCGCACAATGTTCTAAGCTGCAAAACCTTTACGAGTGGAGTAAATGCGCCGAAATGTTGCATTTTGGTGTGTATGGTGGAATACTTTCCTAGCATCGCTAAGACCCCAGGATGCCTAGATGGGGCTCAAAAGTCTGGACTTGTACTCTGAACTCAATTGCCTGTCTGTTTTAGTCCATCAGAGACACGTCGTACCTTTCAAAGTTCAATTCCATTGTGCAACTACTGAGCATCGTCCCGAGTAGCTGATTAGCTCGCATTTAGACAGGGCGTAACGTTACCCATTCTTCGGTCAGGGAATCCGCATCACGAGGTTGCTCCCCCCTCGCCCGCTGTTTTTCCCCTTTCCTACCTTGTGTATTCGCTGTCCTGTGAATCGAACTGTAATTGGAGATCCTTTTTCGAAGGAACTGCTGTCCGAATGCCAACAAGCCTGGACTCTCCAGATGTTTTTTTGCTTTCCCGAAAAGGTTCCTTCTGTTTAAGAGAGAGTGAACTAAGCAAAGTTACAGAGGTCATCGTTTTCATCCACTTTTGAAATGAATCGTACATACACGAATGAAATTTGCTTTGGGGCGGGAGATCAAGCGTCTTTACAGCCTTTTTCATTTCAGCTGTCGATCAGGGATTAGAAAGTTTTGACAGTTTGGAGAGAGTTGGGAACACCTAGCCACGTGATGTGAAATCTGTGACTCCTCGCCTCCAAATGCGAGTTAATCACACTGATGCACGTTTCACAAAACATTTGAACAGTGTTCCAAATTGTGCACCAGAACAGCGGGACATCTCAGCTGTTCGTGGCCGGACGGTTTAGTCTCCCGCGACTAGCCGGGAGAAAATGAGTTGAGATCCTAATGGAGAAACATCAGGTGCGCACTGCTGATGTTTTCCAGTAAGGATGTAAAACAGCTGTACAATTCATCTCAACTGTTCGGCGTAGACTGACTTCACCTACCAGACCAAAGGACGTAAATGGAAGGGACATGAAGTTGCCAACGTTCTTTCAAAGTTTTACTGCCTGCAGGAGTGATGCCAGGGTTTTTTCCGGACAACACTACTTGTTGACGCCAGTGAAGTCCTTTTTTGTTTAGCAAACAGGATAGAGTATTGTGCTCGCACAGAACATTTCAAAACATCCATGGAGCCTTCTAGCCAACAAATACATCCACTGGTATTGACTCCTGCTTAGCTGAACATCCCATCACCACCGTAACGGTAGACAAAAAATCAATTCATAACAGAGTCAAACTTTCACCGATCTTCGTCTCAAACCAAAGGGAAAACAGTTAACGGTCCCTTTATGCTCTTCATAGGAGGTTTGACCACGACTGGCGCTGTTCCAGAAACTCGTCCGAAGCAAAGATTTTCCGACGCTATCATCAAAACCCGCCAAAGAAAGATTGTCGCTCGTTACTTTTTTTTCTCCTACATTCTAACCGATCTATTCACTTGAGAAGGCTTTGGAGATCACTTTTGGTCAGTTTTGTCGCTTTTATCGTTCGGACCTACCGTGCCTTTTTCTCGTTTCACAAAACATTTGAACAGTGTCCCAAATTGTGCACCAGAACAGCAGGACATCTCACAGTTTCAAGCCAATTCCACGCATTCCCCATCCCAAAGCATAGTTCTCACCCGAACCGGAACAGTTCCGGTCCTAGTTCTACCACTCAAATGTTTCAATGTGAATTTCGTCTACGTCACTCCCTACAAAACAAGGTTTGTAGCGAACATAAATCACCCCTGAATAATCGCTAATACAGTGGTGATTCAAGAGTTCTTGCGGTTTGCGTAGCATAACTGTCCTCGACTACTTTCATGGGTCCAAACTCATATCACTCGCCGTATGAACAGAAATGTGTGTAACAGCATTCCCAGAAGAGGTCGGTCTCAGCAGAGGTGTAACATTCTGTGGAGGTCCATCTTGCGCGGTTAAGGTAAACAGCTGTTTTGAACAACAACTGATGGGAACTACACTCATTTGCAAACAAATTTGAACTTTTATTTATAGTCACACCACTCTCGCTTCAACTTCAACGGTTGTCCTCCTGTTCTGGCGTAATCACTTCGGTGAGTCCACACCAGAGGGAAGCACTGGACTCGAGTTTCGCTCTTAATAGAGGTCACCAGCAGTGCATGTCCAATGGCCGCGCCGGGATCTGAACCCCGGACACCTGACATGCGAGACGAGCGTGTAACCACTACTCCATCAACGCACATCGGACGCACTTGAACTTTCACGTCTGAACAGGCGAATGTGCTCACACTTGAGCGATGTGATTGGTGTGCCCGACTCATCGAACGACGACGCAGTAACTGTCCTGGTTGTGACGATCGACTGACCCGCCAGTCAGGTAGCGTGACACACGCTTGAAACCCACTGGGCAACTTTTTGGTGGCAGTTTTTTGGGCTTTACGGGATAGGTATTTTGGTTTTGTGGGATACCCACCTGGAACCCAGCTTAATCTCTCGTTCATGACGCTTTCGCTTAAGACGTGCAATTTGGGTTCAAGTGGAACATAAGGTTGACGGAGACTCGGGAATTGCGCCATGAAGGGCGAAACCGGTCGTGGGGTGTCGATGAATTTTCAGCAACCTTACGAGTAGTGTATTACGTCTAAAAAACTAATGGGATTTGTGAGGTGATTGGATGGATAGCATCTTACGGTCAGACAGAAAGTGACTGAGATTTCTATGTTGGCAACAAAAGGAGTGAACTGATTGTATGCATAAGCAACAGCAGTTTGTTAACAACGCGCACAAAATCAGACACAATACGCGACAGAGAATCAACGCATTGATCGAAGGTGCCTTCGAACGAAGTCGTACGCGATGAAGAAGAAAATGGCGGCTCCCCGAATGGGTCGCAATTATTCACACCCTTTTGTTGCCCAATGAGAAAAATTTTGTATGTACCTTCTTTCAGGTACGTAAGGAATCCCAACGACTGAGCGGTATGTTGCAACATTTATTCAGTCAAACCGAGGCAACTGACGGCGCTCCACCATCTCAACAGCCGCCGCCGCCACCAGCCACATCACTACAAGCAACTACGACAATCGCAACCCCACCAGTCTACGACGTTCGCCTAACTGACAGTAGCGTTCCAAAACAACAGCTGCTCATGGACACTAACCACCAGGTCGTCAGACAGCAGCCACACAAACCACTGAAATCTCTTCGTCCGGGGGAGCAATGCAATGGCCATGCAAATTCGTTTGTCCTCGATTCACCGGTGTCTTCAGGTGGCAGTCACTATATGAAGCACCAGCCGGATAATCAAGAGGCCGCGGGAGCGTCCTCGAGACAGCATTCACCTGTGGGTGAGTTTATGGATAGTTCACTTCAAATTGTTCTCACGTTTTCTTAGTCAACAGGTGTGGTCCGCTGGCACGAAACAAAGTACTCTGGATAGCTGGTTATCTAGTATTTGTGGCTCGTGGCAGTTTTGGTATAGTCCTTTCGATTGATAATTTGTAGATTTTAGCTGAGTGATCTACTGTTTTCCAGTAGGAGTGCAAATACTATGATACATTGGGCGAGATGGCCCAAGTGGTTAGAGCGCGAATTTACTGACCGGAAGGTCCGTGGTTCGAACCCGACCTCTGCCTCTCAACTTCCCCTGTCTAGGCTTGGGCAACCTGGCAGTATCTCAGCCCTCGTGCTTCCTTCTGGTGGCATGGCAGTTAGGCACCGAAAGGGCGCTACAGCTGAACGATTATTTTACATTGAAATACGCAAATCTGATTCTTTCCCGAGACAGTTTTTTACACATCTGATGAGAGTCTGGTGAACTATGTCCTGCTGCAAATAAGGATTTTGTCAAGCACCACTGTGCGACTGTTCCACTCCTTCCGTCAGCCGTCAACAGAGTTCATCCGTCGAAATTCGGAGATTGAAACGTGTAACCTACTGAATAGTGTGGTAGTAGTATATCGGTACCCATCTCCGGTTGATTTGATCCATTGATGTGATGTGAGGAGATTTGGGAATTCTCGGTAGAGATTTTGTCTTGCAGTGAAGCCAATCTATGCTGAAATGACTAGAAGCACTGTACAGCTGTTTCATTCTTATTGGGAATCATCAGTCGTGAGCAGCTCACGAAGCTCAGACCGTTTCCAACCTGCGATCCTTCGGCCCCTGGTTGACCTTTTGGCCAGAAGCGGCTGATCAGCAGTGTGAATAGCGCTCACTTAAGTAGGAAGTGGCGCTACTCATCTTTCAATAACGGAAGTCACATCACATAGTGCTTCCTACCGACGGTTTACCGCTGTATTCGATCCTGCTTTGATTATGAATACATTGTATGCTGTGAAATGCCCAACCTACCGGCTAGCGAGGAGAGAACCAAGACCGAACCGCACGTGGTTGCGTGTTTGCGCAAGCACTAAAGTGTGACCGCATGAATCTTGCGACAACCAACATTGTCTCCAAGGTCAAACAACAGGCAGGGCCATTTGCTGAAGGTTGAGTTGGGCCAGTCAACCAGAGCTGACTGACTAGTCACACCACAAAGGGTGGATTTAACCGACCGCTACAGTTACGAGGAGACAGTGTCATAAAAATCAACCAATCCAGGGCGACGTTTCTCATCAAGAGCCATAACGCTTCCACAAGGAAACGAACATTACTGTAGTAGCTGCTTCGGTGTGTCAAAGAGTTTGCGCGTGTGAATGTCCGTATGTCGTTCCACCGTCGTTCTGGCGTGTGACTTGAGTGGCTGATTGTGTGCGTGTCCGATTGATTGGCTCGCGTGAGCTCTGTGGGTTGACTGGATATGTACTCGGTTGTTTGCTTAACCGCCACGAAAGCGGATCAGTGGGCCGCGTGCACGCAATACACCCGTGTCCTTACTTACGTGTTCTTCTGACATACTGTGAACTACAATACTGGCGACGGGGATGGGATGCGAACCCACGCGGGGAAACCCCAATGGATTAGCAATCCGTTCTTGCTCGAATGACAATGTGGTCGCAGAGTTATAATGGCTTTGGGTAAGATTCACAGAAGACGTCATATGGTACCCAGTCGATAAATATAGGGTGTTGCCTGTCTTGCAATGCTCATTCGTTCTGAAGCACACCATCTTCTCTTCTAACCACTGGGGGTTCCGTATCTTATTTACCACTACGCCATACTTGGTCTGTGTCACCACCCAGTTCGATCTGGTTGCTCTAATGTTGCATCACACGTCTGTGTGAGATGACAATACGGTGAAGCTCCACCCTTTCGTTGCACGCAAACCTTCTTGTATTGAGGCAGACAGACATTTTACCATCTCCGGTCATTTGAGTGACTCATGGGGCCTCAGTGGTTAGAGCGCGAATTTACTGACCACAAGGTCCGTGGTTCTAATCCGACCTCTGCCTCTCGACTTCTCCTATCTATGCTTGAGCAACCTTGCAGTATCCCAGCTCTCGTGCTTCCTTCTGGTGGCATGGCAGCTAGGCACTCAAAAGGGTGTTACAACTGAACGACAAGTGACTCATGGTACTGAGTAGGCTGCTCTCAAATAAACCATGAACTCATATCAGTTGAACTTACTAGAAGGATGAGCTCAAAACAATTACTTTTGGTCTAGCCCATCCAAGGGGAAGTTTAACCCAGGGGTCAGCAAATCCGGTTGTAAGTTGCTCCCTTCTTGGCCGTCGCCAATGTGACAATGGGTCGAGCTTCGGGCAAGTAGCACTGAGAATAGTTGGTAAGTGCGGATGACGAATGACGATTTCTACGTCCCGACGGTAGGTCGTATGAACGGCATCTACGGTCAAATGATACTGCAAATACAATCCAGATAGTCCACAGTGAGTAATTACAAATCACAGGAATATACGGATTTTGATTCATCTGTCTTATGCCACCCAGAAACCCTTGAGTGTTTTCTACCGACTGAATACCTTCAGTCCTTGGGAACTCCTTTTGTCCTAAGGACCTACATCCCCCGAGTGTAACTAGCCCAGCAAGCATCATAGAGAAACGCAAAATCGTCTCTCTCGTCATGACAGTCCTGTGGCTGTCCTTTTTCAGCAATTCAAAGAGTCCACACCAAAGGAAGGGCAACACTTAGCTCCAGTTTTGCTCTTTCAAGAGCACATCAGCACTGGATATTCTTGGCCGTGTCGGGGTTCGAGCTCCGGACATCTGACACACGAAGTGGACGTTTTGTCATTAGTCCACCAACGTACACTGGGCGTACCAGAATGAATATGTCTTAACAGGCGGAAATGTCCACGCCTAAGTGTGATTGGTTTATCGGATGAGGCGAACGACGATCTAGTAGCTGTCCTGGTTGTATCGATCGATTGGGCCTTTCCAGCTGCGATTGCTTGGAACCTGTTGGTAAATTTTCGATTGACTGTAGGTGGTGACGGCATTTCCCTCTCACTCTCGTTTGAACAGTCCTCTGCCTATCCGGGCTCAGTTGTCCACCATACTTTTCAGACGGGATCCTACATTCACCTATACTCGTTTGGGCCGAAGAGATGCTCAAAAACATCAGGTATTCGTGTTACAGTGACCACTAACACTGTTCATTTACTCATCGGGCTGTTCCTAGCAGTAGATTTCCTCCCCGAAGACCAGTCAGCGGAGTCCTGGTACAATGTTGGTGTAGCAACAAGCCAACCAGTGACATAGACGGGCGCCCCAGTCGACTGTTCAATCTGTTTCAGCACCCCCGTCTGATGCATGCGTTAGCAGTCTGCCGACCATGGTCTTGGGGTTCAGCGTATTTTCGGATGACACATTGCCATCGTGTTAGCTGAGGTCGCCACGCCTGTCGTCTTAAAGAAGCACCCCGAAATCGATAATCGTCCGTAGGGAGAGGGTACGGAGATGCACACCTCTGGTAGATGTTCATTATGACGTATTCCTGAATCGGCATATTACTTCCGCTCCAAGTGGAGACTACTTTATAAAGAAATTCGAACAGCTGGTTGGTGTATGGACGAGTCGTCCCAACCACTCAAAACATTAAGGCGATTCTCCTGAGAACAACAACTGATCGTGATCACATGTTTGCGCGACGAGTGCACAGGATCTTTGTCAACACAGCAATGTGAGTTACGAGCATTTTGCGTCTTGCACGTAGACGCGCGCGCGCACACACACACACACAGGCGCACAAAAAGACAAACAAACTAGTAAAGCGCAAATGAGGCGTCACCAAGACAACCATGAGAATAGCCAGACAACTGATGGCTTTTTTCCAACTCTGCATGTACACAAAAGTAAACAATGAGGGAGCCACCTGTCGTGTTTGGTTTTGAAATGCACATCTGCTCAGTCACCGATGGGACGGCACTGGGGAAGCAGACAAAAAGATACAAGTTAGCTTTATCGGTGACGTGGATTGTAGGTTACCTCACCCTCCTCCCTTCAGCTCAAAACGTTTGAACTCTCAAGGAAGACTTCCGGACCACGAAAGTTTGTGGTACTAATGAAAGTCAGTAGTCGTTGTTTACTCTATGAAGATGGAACAAAGAAAGCTGGCATTATTTCGCTGTATAGTTTAGACTTATTCCTATATAGGGGAGGAATTTGCCCGCCATGTCACAGCGCTGGCATACGGTTGTACATTTCAACCTTCCAACAACTTGGAAAAGTGACTTTCCCCAAAAATTAAAGCCAGTTCTTCAGACCTATTAATTCCAGAACCACAGAGGAACTTATCGTTTGTCCTACCGTTCTTGGAAGCGAAAATCATTTGCTTCTCTTCTGTTCGAGTCGAAGGCATGGATGTTGATAGAATCGCAAGCTTTATCCATTGTCTTGGTTAGTAAATCTGTTACTTATTCCGAACATCATCAACTACAATAGCAAGTGAATGATATCATTCGCTTGGGTAGGAAGGAGGAAGGAAGTTGGACAAAACCGTGATGTTGAACACCTTTAAACTATTATTGTATGTTTGATCGAACTGATATTTGCCCCACCAGGTAACCGCTCCAAATTCATTTTTACCCACTACATTGGACCCGTAAACCGAAATTCGTGAACTTTATGCGCTATATATATTATATATATATATTATACATATATATATATATATATATAGGGTGGGGT